TCTTACTAGCCACTAAGCACAACTTTTCTCTATCGATTGGCACGAAACTGTTGAGTATTTTGAATGCTTTTTTCTTTAAATAGAACATAGGTGTCTTTTTCGTAAATAAAACTCTTTTAATAATGTCAATAACTATTTCTGTGAAAAACAATGCAACAAATTATTCTATTTAAACAAAATTCATACTAACTTGTTTATCATATTTTAGCAATCCACTTTCATATTAAGTTATATCAAAATAAATGAACAATAGTTTAGCATTGGGGTTTGTTATAGGTTTACTTACATTTCCCCTAGCGTTGATAGAATATATTTCGTACAGACATAAGATATAGCAAAGAGAATAAAACCTTGGAAGCAAATTAAATATACAATTAATTAATAGCGTACATGTCTGACGAACTGTTTATAAATGTGAAAAGCTAAAGTAGAATTTGTAGCCTTATGAAGTTGTCTGTTCACTAGAGAGCTGCGAGTCCATGTTTTTTTGGACCCGGACCCAGTCAGGTTTAGATCCCATCTTTTTTTCACCAATATCTAGTACCCCCTGTGTACGTGAATAGATAAAGGGACAAGGTATTAGCTCTTCATTGCCCACTTTAGAAATAAAGTAAATGTACAGTTCTTGTTGTTCATTTTTTCAATACTAAATTGTCATTAAATTGAAAATTTTCGATTATTGAAAATCAAACTATGTTAACAAAAAAAGAAATTGAGCAATTAATTGATAAAAAAATTCGTCATTGAGAATTGTCAAACCAACAGTAACACCAAAACTTTCGGCCATGTGGAATATTTTTAGTCGTATTTATTATTTTGGCATTTGAAGTGACTTTTGTTAATTATAGAGATAAAAGGAAACAAGAAGCCTTGAAAAATAAGAAAGAAAGCAACATTCGTTGACTTTAATGGTTGTATATTTCGATTTGTAACCTGATGCAGGTCGGGTCTGAAGTTAAACTAGATATAGGCCCGGACCCGCAGCTCTCTACTGTTCGCCCATAAGTACTACGAGACAAAAAGATTCATGAAAGTAAATGGTAAAGAGCACTAAAAACAGGATTGTTATATGATTACTGGATTGATACGACACAGATATGACTAATCAAGGATTTTCTTTAATTGTTATAGAATGGAAAAAATGAAGAATGACTCATGCCGATATACCGAGCGATTCAGTCCGAAACGATCGTTTCTACCAGTATCGGCAAAGAAAAATCCTTACAATTCCAACTATGACGTCAGGATGAGTCTGGATGTGATCAATCTCGTTGAACACTCACGTGCATATCCTCAGAGAATGTACGGGAAATAATTTTGCTAACACGAAACGCTGGCCCGCAGCCTGTAATTACTTTAGAGTTAAAAGAATATTATTTTTTGTAATGGAGACTTGGCTTCTTTTTCAAAAAATTAGCTAAATTTCATACAAGCATCCAAGCGTATTGTTATTGATGCTTACCTAGCTCTCTGGAATCGTCATATTGCTAATTGAAATCTACAATTCACTGCGATATATCGGTAAGAGTCGGCTGCACTCAAAACATTTCGCTCTTTTGTGTCAATATTGTGCGGCATAATTGTGCATCATTTCATTCCTTATCTGTATTAATTTTAAGAAATAGACGATAATACAATCCTATCAGGCAAATGATTCAAGACGTCTGAGTGCTTGTGATTGAACAGAAAAAAAGCATAGAAACATTTTTCACTTTCAAATCCCATTACGCACTCAAAAATCTTTTCTTTGCCTCAGAACAAAATAGCTGGCTGAAGCCTCTAGGAGGATATATCCGAGTGTATGCAGTTCACAACTAAAATTTCAGCCAAAAGGTTAAGTTCTTCAAGAGCTATCGTGAAATCGCGGTTCAAAAACAATGTATCTTTGTTTTAAGGATTTTATCTTCAAACGTTATGATTCAGATTTCGTGCTTATGTCGCAATGTAGTTAAGAACTACCGCTACAACTTAACAAAGTCCAATATTTCAAGATTTTTCATTTTTTTTCTTCACCGCCGATGAAACTATTCCTTGAAAAACCAAAAACGTTAGAGGTATCCTTAACGAAAAATTTTATTTTTATGAAAAAGTAACTCAAAAATAAAAAAACCGGCTCTATTGACTTGTACAGTATAATTTTCTTCTCAGTTGAAAATATTCCCAAATTTTCTAGTGCGTAAATCCGCCAAGCAATCGCTAAAAAGCGATAACAGTGAAATGCAGAAAAATCGATTTCGAGAAAATGCCGAAATGAATCTTGACGTGGAAAATCAAAGTGTTGCTCGTCATGGGATCCCATAAGAAAATTGATTTAGAAGATGTTTGAGTGAATGCGAGATATATTTACCTAGGAAAGTCACTTATATGGTCTATGTTTCAAACTTATAAGGGAGCATGAACGGGTGCTACGACTCAGGTTCACAATGCATCCTTCGGATTTACGGTTTTTCGAGGAAATCTCTGCAATATCCACAGATACCATAGTAAAACAAATGAATCATACGTATTGGAAAGTGCAAAGCTTCCGCTATTCAATCATGTGTGAAACTCCAAAAGTTGCTACGCAACACGAAAATTGGAATTTTTGAGTTGGCTATCGGAACTGCACCAAATTACGCAACTGTTATGTGATTGTTCCATGTATTTGAAAGAGAGAGGGCACAGCGCAGCAGATGCATTCGACTAACGAATTTCAGTAGAAATTATATTAGTTAAGCCAGATATGATCGATTGAATATGGATGTTCTGGATTCGTAAACACGCTTCTGGTATGAGAATTTATGTCGGATGCAAAATTTAGTTCCTCCAAGCAATGTTTTGACGAGATTTCTTGAGCCAACACTGAGTAGGAGCCAATCCAGATCATCGAAGCCATACCGGCAATGTACACTGTAAAAAATAAGTGTAGAATAATAAACGCTCATATCTGTTCAGTAGTATTGACATAAACTCTTTCTAGTTTTATGAGCGTAGCCTGCTCTTGTATAAACCGGCAATGTTCATATACCTTGACAAGAGTTTGTGATTCATTGAGACTTCATATATTCTTGAACTGTTTTCTGGGTGCATAAATCCTTTTTAGATATACAAAAGGTATAAAACCTCACGTGAAGGGTTTATTATTCTACGGTTGTGTTTCAAACGTGCAACGATAAATGCTTCGTCTGACATTCTATTCCGTTCATATACGCAAAAATGGTTTATGAACACAGAGAACAGTTCAAGAATATATGAATTTGCAACGGGTCACAAACTCTTGCCATGGCTCACGAACAGAAATAGTTTACCAAAGAATAGATTACGCTCATCGACCTAAAAAAGGATTCATGCCATTGAAAATAAACGCATGTGAGAGTTTATTATTCTACGTGTACTTTTTACAGTGTACTATTTATGTAAAGGGTGAAAAGAAAATCTGTGAGTTTGTTCTCATACAATCTGTATCATTCAGTGCAGAAATTTGTTACAACAGATAGCGAGGCCTATATTTAAATGCTAGCTCACTAGCAACATTAGCATATGATTATTCTTTTGTGAAAATCACGTATATTTTCGAAGAAAATAGTGAATATAAGTGCTAATTTTGCTGGAGATCTTTTCTCAATCCACACCCACACCTTAAGTTTTCATATAAATCAAAATGGTAGTATATGTTTATTGAATGAGGACTTGATGTCATAATAGTTGTTAAGAATAGAACATCGAACACGATATGACTCATTGTTTTCATACCATTTTTAATAAAACCACTGAAATCATATAGGATTTCGATCAATTTGACTAATTTCATTGGTATCTTATTCGTTGTTCTGTAATTCCAAAATATCATGCAGGTTAATATAAACTGTAAAATCGTATACCATCATTACCTGTGTCCATTATCTATTTGATTAACCTCAAATATATCTTTATATTCAACTGCATCTTCCCGTCTTTAGCATTGTTAGGTTGAACAATTCTCAAAGAGCTCCTTTATTTCTTATTTTTGCAAAAATATTTGTATAATTAAGATAGTTGTTCGTGAAATTTACAAAATTTTCAAGTTCCTATTGTATTATTACTGTATCGTTGGAAGTACGAATAGCTTTGTTTAGATCAACTCAGCTAAAGAACTCTTGAAAACTTTTTCTGCTATCAAATGACTTAGGCGAGCAGTTCTTTTAAGCAGAACTGAGCTTTCCCAAAAGTTTTTGTTCTATTACGATGAATAAAATTTTTCAGATAGCTTCATTGCAAAAACTTGTTACTAAATATTAGTTCTTCTCAAAAGAATTGTAAATATTTTGTTATTTGGCTCCTCATTTTATTTACCGACAATCAAAATAATAGAAATATATTTCTTTTATTTTTTAATAATTGCACATTCAATATCTGTTTCAGTGTCAACTATATTTAAACAATATAATTGATACTATGCTTCGCATAATCATAAAACAAATGCTTTGATGTGATCACAAGTTGTCAGAAGGGTGTTATTTCTTTATCATTCATTTAGAACTTGACGACATTGCTCAGGACCATTTTATTGAGTTCTTAACACCGATTTAAGTGTGTATGAAACAAAAAACAATGTTTTAAGTTAATCCTATGCTATTGAAGTATCAGTTTTTGTCAGAATTATATATTTGTCAAATTATAATAAATACAGCTAAATCAACAAATAAAATAAATCAGTATTAAGTCTTGATGACAGTGACATTCAAATTGCTGTGAAATATCATTATGGTAATAGTATGTTTTTTACTTAGCTCATCATGAAACAAGAGTTTCTTTTCTTTATTTTTGCAGAAAATTTGCAGACTTCACTACTTTTTCCGTCAGAAAAAAAACACAAAATATCAAATTTTCATTTATTGTAAGGTGTAGAAGATAAGAAAAAAACTATTTTCAATGTGAACAAGATTGTTAATTATGTAACTTAAGGATAGATTATTCATCAAGTAAGGTGAGAATTTTAACACAATTATAGAATAAACGTAGAGATATCTTATAAAACAATGCTACAGAATATTGCATGAAGCACACTCTTCTTTTGATCTTGATTGATTGACAAGTTTTTTTAAAGCACTCAAAAGTCGACTATATTCATTGAGATGAAAAAAATCTTTTCCAATTTTATTTCTCAACCGATTATATTCTTCATCAATACGCATTGGTGAATCAATAATTAATTTTCCATACATCATAACTTGAGATCCATCGATAAAATCCAATTCATTTAATAAATAATCGGATAAACGATTTTGTTGAAACCAATATTTTATCTCTTCACGTGTCCATTGATCAGGTAATTCAGCTGATATTGTTTTGGCGTCATTCAATAGACGAACAGATGCAAATGATGATATTAAATTAGAAAATTGTTCTCGACTCACACCATGATCACGGATTCGGTGTTCGTATTCGTCATATTGTGCATCTTCATGTGATAATAACTTCATATATGTTAGCAAAGCTCGACCAGATGATAGTTGAAGGGTAGATGGTGGTAAATGAAGCCATTGCTGTACTTCTTCACTAGTCCATTGTTCGATTGAAGAAGTAGGTATAACGTATGATACTGTAGAATTAGACTGTGATTGTATGTCGGAAATTTCTACAATCGAATTGGAGTTTACAGGTAATAATGCTTCAATAGTTTGCATATTGACAATTTTATTTGCATCAATTTGCGATTTACGCTTCACATGAGATTCGTTTGAAGAAGCAAGCTGGTTATCACTTTGCCTAATTTTATCTCGTACATTAATTAATCCTAAAAGGTTTTCCATAACTTCTTCATCATTTTTCTTATCTCCAAAACGAACCCATGTTGCAGAACCAGCACGAATTTCAAACCAATCTTCTGCTGTATAATCTTTTCCTATATAAACAGGCACCATACGTTTGTTACGTTTATCAGCATGAATGACTTCTCTTCGACAACTTTTGGAACCACAATAATTTTCTGTCACAATCATGACAATAACATCACATTCAGTTATTGCTCTAGCAATTTCTTCCCAATCATCTTCATATGGTGGTGACAATTTATTAAAATCTACCCAAATATCACCTTGAAAACATTCTTGAATTTTTGTAACAAGTTTTTTACAAAATTTCATGTCCTTATGTGCATAAGAAATCATAATTTTAATTTGATTATCGTTATCATCATTCTTATGATTATCTTCTATTGATTGTACATCCGTTTGTATATAATCAAGATTAAAAAAAATTCCTTTAGCTGCTCGTTTCATGCATAAATTGTATTCATCATTTGATTGATTTTTTACTCTTTGTTCAACTAATGAAAGAAATTTATCATTTGATTTTAATTTAGTATTATATCCAGATTGAAAACTAATTGACCAAAATATCGTATAGAGTGATGAGCAAATAATTGTATGAACTACAGTTGATTCACATGTGGCATTAAATAAAAGAAATTTTTCAATGAATAGTTCATACATATTTTCACGTGAAATAATATAAATAAGAAATGTATCATTAACAAATAATTTAGCAAGTCCATCTAAATATTCACAAACACTATATGGACCATAGGAAAGATCAGCAGAATCAAATGCTTTTATTGTTCGTTCAAGAATATAATCAAGAATGGTTTGAATATTAGACATACTTTCTTTTTTTAATTCCTTCGGTTCCAATAATATTGCATAAAGAAGATAATAAGCTACAATAATATCTTTATTGTTTTCATTATCATCAATAAGTGATGATTCAGATATATATCGTTCTTTCCATTGCTTTAGAATGCCAATCATGTTTAACCCATTTAGTGCTTTCACACCAATGTAATGCCGAGCTAAATTATGTAATAAATTAATAATCAAAAACCATGACTGAAGAGGAATATATTTTATATGATCTTGTTCAATAGAGATCCATTGAAGAACAGCATTCGGATAACCAGTCTGAACAAAATAAGGAACAAATCCATAAATATCTGTCATATTAACAATCCATTTTAAAATCGATACATAGCTTTGAGATTGTTGATGATTATTTAAAAAATAATTATTCAAATATGTTATAAATGCTTGTAAAAGTCGTTCGGTTGAATTATTTAATTGAAAAAATGTTGGAATATTTTTATGTGAAACATATATTGAATAAGAAATGCATCTTTTTGTATAAAGTGATCGTGAACCAATAGAAGAAAAAAGATTGAGAAAATATTCATCTATATTTGGTAAAATATTTGTTTTAGAAATAAGGCAATCAATTGTCGAATCATGAATTAAATAAGTAAGTGATAAATCAAAATAATAGTCACATGACACTGGATAAATTGCCAAATTTATAAACATCCGAAGACGAATTACATCGAACAAGGCTGTTAAGATAGTAGATGGAATTATTGAAGAATATCGTTTGATAAAATGATAAAAGGAATTTATTTCAAAATCATTAAGAATAGACATAAGTTTCTGGTTTTCATCAATTGTTCTTAAGTCACATTCATCATCAATTTTTTGTAATTGATCACGAAGATTAATTAATGGATGAGAATCGATTTCCTTTAGCATATCATCATGGGATAGAAGAGTTTTTAGTTGATGGATAGAATTGACTATTGCATCGTTGTTAGCAGTCATGTTGCTCGTACGCGAACAACTAATAATCAAATAGACGTTTTTCTTTCCTTCGTTCTTTTTTCTTTCTATAAATACGAAAGGTATATTTTATTTCAATGAAAGCATGTAGAAATAATTAAATGATTTATGTGTCTCCTAAATGTATCGTTTCTCTTTTTGCATAGAAGATAATACGATAGAATACGACACTCCTTATTCATATTAAGCGTAAAAAGAGTGATAAATAATATCAAGACAACAAATCAAGAATGTTTACTATGTCAATAACAGAAAAGAAAGTTATTGTTTAGTTTTATCATTTGAAAATATCAATTTTAGATTTTTCTCTTATGGTCACAGTCATTGTTAGTTGACTATGAAAATAGATTTAAAAAGGAATCGATAATAGTCATCAATGACAACGGATAATTGCATTAATTTCTGATAGTTGTTGAAGGACTTCTCGTTATAATAGCAACGCGATGATACAATGGCTTTTGTTACGTAATACCATGAAGTTATGTGTAAGTATAGTAATCACATTTCTTGTATAAAAATAGTTTATCACTATAAAAATACTCAATAATATCTCGAAACCTCGAAAAATATCAACCTTATCCTAGAAGTCAAGCTGAATCTTTGACATATAACCCACTTAAACGTTTTCATTACAGACATAACATGAATGCAATCAACTTTTTAAAGATTGAGTTTAACGAAATTTAATTTGATCAATCTAAATATCTATTGGGCCAAGATGAACGTTATCTAGAAGAACTGTTTCTCTCATTAATGTGATTTTAAGTGAAATGAGAGGAATCAGTGAATAATGAACCTGGATTTAAACTAAAAAATCCTGGTTCGATTATGTTTCTATTTTTTTATGAAAATGCAACAATAACACTAATGACAGACACACTAGTCAGGTAATAAACACGATTTATTGTAATTTGAAATTCAAATAAAATCTCATGTAATATATTTTATTTCTTGATATATAATCGATTCTAATTGAAAGTTAGCTTAGATAATACAGTATTATTTTAGAATCAAGAGGATATAGCTAGACACTTATCGACTTTTTGGTCCTGAAAGAATGAAAATGTTGCCATTGACAAAATGATTAATTTTCAAGATTGAGAATGAAATGATAGAGAAATTAAGGCGCTATCTTCTAACAAAAAAGAAACTTTTTTTTGCATTGTAACCTTGATGAGAAAGATGAGATACAAAATTAAAAAAATATAGCTGTCACACTAAATGTACTCCGAGATTCTTAAATGAAAGATGTCCCGCGAAAAATTTTAATGAATATCTATACTAAACTGTGAATGAAAACACACTTATTTTATATCAATTGGCTTTTGTGGGCACCGTTTAAGGGACACAACCGTTTAAGGGAAAATATAAGCACCATTATAGAGGCACACATGTTTAATCTGATTGGTTACATGACTTGGAACACATCGTGTTGTATTATATTACTTATTAAAATATGTCAATAATTGAAAAAAATAATTTAGTACAGAATTTTTTTATAAATTTAAATAGATGCAGATTGTCATCGAGATATTCCATTTTGCCAANCTAGTTGGAGGAGTTCCGGAATTAGTTGGATGAATTCCGGAATTAGTTGGAACTGATTCCGGTGGGCGGAACTGATTCCGGAATGTGCAACATTGCGGAATAGGATGACTGCTCAAAATTTGAAATAAAAAGTCGAAAATTTCTTTCCCAGTATTCCTTATTAGCAACTAAGGTATTATATTTAAAGAATAAACTATCTCAACAATAATAACCTAAGATTTCAAACTATTTTCCGAATATTTATAGTTCATTAGAGCCTACATATTAATACACATAGTCTCAACTGAAAAAGCGATTAATCAATTTTGAAACTTCCGTTGTTAATCAAAATTCAACTTTGAACAAACTTCATAAGTACAGCTTAATTCTCTCCTCCTGTATAAATGATAGAAACAACACTAACCATAACTAAACCGACATCAGCTTTTTTTAAAGCAGCACCATCATTTGTTCCATCACCGACAACAGCAACGACTTCGCCTGTTGGATTGATTTTTGATTTCATTATACCTTTCACGAGTACATATTTATCTTGTGGTGATGCACGAGCTAGTATACGTAAATGTGGCCAAACTTTATCAAATAAATTTTGTTCAACCTACAATTCAAAAATTAAAAACGCAGCACATTTTTTCCGAAATCATTTTTTACCTGTCCATTTGGCTCTGACCTTATACGTCTATTAAATTCTTTTCCTTCAAGTACTAAAAATCTAACATCCGATGATATAATTCCACATTTAAGTGCAATCTGTCGAGTTGTATTAACATTATCTCCTGTAAATATTTGTACTGTTATACCGGCCTTTCGACATTTAGCTATAACATCAGGTACTTCTAATCGAACAGGATTTTCAATACCACACATACAAATACATGTTAATTGCTCCATAACACTAGCTTCATCATTCCAATCAGGTAATTCATCTGGTGAAAAATCTCTATATGCTAAACATACTGTACGTAAACCATCATATGCCATTGGTTCAATTACTGTCTGTACAAGACGATCATAATCAACAATTGAAAATGGCACTTTTTCTCCATTGCAATTTAATATTGTTTTACAAATTTTCAGAACAATTTCTGATGCACCTTTTGTATACATGCGTACAGTTGAATCAGGCCTTCGAATAACTGTTGACATATATTTTCGCATTGAATTAAATGGGTAAACATGAACAAATTCTTCTTCTGGATAATGTCTACGTATTTCATCATAATTTCCATTAAGAGCACCTACAAAACCTAATAAAGCACATTCAGTGTTATTTCCAATTTGCTTCGGTCGTGTTTCATTTTCTGGTGAAGACTAAAGTAAAAAAGAAAGAAAATACTTTTATGAAATTTGATGATTCTGCTTTGAAAAAACGAATATTAACGTACTAGTAATTTTGATGAATAACTACAATTAACAGATAAACATTCAAATATACTGTCTTTTGTATTAGCCGGTATAATAATTTCTTTAGCTTCAACTGACTTTTCCAAAGTTTTCCAATATTTTTCAGCAGCATAGACTTGTACAACAGTCATGTCATTTGTTGTTAATACACCTGTTTTATCAAAACATAGAGCCGTTACATTACCCATTGTTTCACATGCATGGAAATTACGAAAAGTATTATTATCTTTCATCATTTTCTAATAGAACAAAAAAAAACATAAATAAAAAAGTATTATATATTATTTAACTTACTTTAACTGCATATTCTAATGATTGTGTTACAGTTAATGGTAAACTTTCAGGCACAGCGACTACATATACTGTTATAAAAGTGATGAAATATCGTATAACTTTACTCCAATATTTATAACTCAATTGATGTCTATAAAAAAAAAAATTTAAAAAAATAGATTGATGAGAGAAACAAAATTTTCTTTCTTTTACTTTTGTACAAATACATCAATTAAAAATCGAACCAGTAGAACAAGTACAGTTAAGATAGCAATGGCTATGCCTAGAAGAAAAATTCTCTTCTGTTTATTAAGTATAGAAGCTAGTCCATATTGATCATGATCATAGAGTCATGTAACCCGACCCGTGGTCAGGTTTAAGTTTAATTAGAACTTACTCGAATTCATATTTTAATATTTTTGCTTCGCCATCAGAAAATGAGTTCAAAAGAAAAAATTATTTCAGGTGAAGAATATGTAATACTTGGCAAAGACTACTCAAATACTATTTGATGAACAAATTTTAATCATAATGAAGATGCCAATGATAAAATCATTAGTTATCTACAATGTAATTATATACTGCTAGAACTTTTCTTTTTTTTTTTTTGAATTTAAAATTTTCCATTTTAATACACTTTCATTAATCATTGCAATGTTCCTTCAGATGTTAAGACACTTGAAATTCATGTGTGTGCTAAAATATCTAGTTATCATATGAGCATTAAGAAATGGTCTAACGCAACGGCTTTCAGTTATCATGTCAAACATCTATTGATATTGAACAAAAACATTGCGTTACTGAAAGTTCATACACAAAATTGAATATGACAATATACGCGATTGTGATACTTTTTTTCTTATGATTATAGATCTTTATGAAGTTTCTATTCTTTTATTCCCACGACTGTAGGGAGGGTCATATGAAAAAAAATAGTTTATGTGTCTGTATGTGTGTGTGTCTGCATCGGGGTCAAAAAAACTTCCACTTTAGAAAATTTTTTTTCATAAAGGTTGACGAAAGTAAATCGAGGTCGGGGAATCCGAATCTGAAGTCAGTTTCTAAAAATTTTGAATTGATTTTTTCGGGTTCAGAGAAAAATGTTTTTGAGAAATTAATAATATTTGCTCACGTGTAGGAAGACTTATATGAAATAAAATAAGTTTTTGTCTATTATTGTCAAAGTGAACGAGGAAGTGTCATTAAAAAACCTTGGACCAGTTTTCGGTGCTCGGGTTTTTAATATTCGGCTTTTCATCAATTCTATTTTTCAAACTGAATATTCAGTTAATCCTACGCATGCGATAAGTTCTTCCTGAATGNTAGTTTTTAATTTTCTTTGAAAAGTCGTTTTTTTGATCAAAAACTGATTTACGGAGAAGTAGCTTTCGGGAAAATCATTATAGTTTCATTTTACGAAAGCAACATTTCAGTTCGGCATCAAATTTTGTAACGAATCGTTCACTCTATCAAAATTACCAAATTCAATGATTTTCTGCAAATTTTGCAAAGGAGAAGTTATCGGAGTAACAAACGTTTCTATTCGTCATTCACATCAATTTTTCAGAACGTTCCAACATTTCCTTACAACTATCGGACAAAAATTGATACACAATATCTTAGCTTATATTTGGAAGGTACACAAAATGCTAGTCCGAACCCCTAGATTTTCACTCGCCTAGAATACTTTCAAGAGAGTCGAAAAAGGGTAAATATTCTGTAAAAAAAACTATTCAATCAGTCGTTGTCTGACTTACGAAATTGATAATTTTGAAAAAATGAAAAGAATTGACTTTTTTCGAACAAAATGCTTTCTACCTACGCAGTCAATAGTGATCTTTTGAAATTCCTCTATGTTATAATTCGATGAAGAAGTTCAATGGTAAGTAAAATATGTTTCCCAAGCTTCTTGATAACCCCCATAACGACAAACCCCAAGGCACACGATTTATTATATATATAGTCACATTTAAGCAGCTAGACAGTAATCAAGAACAAAGTTAGTGTATTTATTATGAATAAACCAAAATACATTTTTTTAAAACCACGTGTCAAAAATTGATGCATTCGTTTGATTTTGATTTTTATTGGCTCATTTCTTCCTTTTTTTATTATTGCAATAACCCGAGATAGATGTTACTTTCGTCTATTCAGTGACATGTTCAAGAAAAAAGAAAAAATCAAACCACTTCACACTAGGGCCGGGACACTCAGTGAATCATACCAATCCATTGCCATATTAGGAAAACTAATACTTTATTTGTCAAGTTATTTCATCAGTGCCTTTCCTAGAGCAATAATGAAGGGTGAATAATTAATTCAATAACAAATAAGTGTACATTAGAGTCAGTAAAACCTATTATCTTATATTTTCTGCAGCATAAAATATAAACAATTAATGTTTCCAATAATGTGAAGCGAAGTCAATGTGAAAGCAACTGTTTTTAGATCAGTTATGTTTTCGAAATGTTTACTAACACCATATATTTGCTTTGCAACTTTTTCGAATGATGTAGAAGTGTGAATTAGAATGATATTAAGGTTCGCAGTTACCCACTCTCTTGTAGCTTCGATAGAAGACATCATTTAGTTAAAGGTTTTTTCAATGGACTCTCAACTCTCAGTTCTTTGGAACCTTTATGTAATGTTTTTAAATCTAGTCATTACAATTCTTTGTTTGATTGTGCTTTATTTAGACTGACAAAATTTCTCCACAGTCGGGAAACATTTTGATTTAAGAACATCAGTACACCATATACTGATCAAGTTTTATTAGTAATTGGACTAAAAGATTAGATGAGTGTGCATTCACTCAATGCACATTGACGAATGAATCATATCTCCATCTATCATTTGTTGAAGTAAACTGTGCTTGATATTTTCTTCACTAGTTTGAAATGAGTTGTTTTTTGTACATCAAAAATCTAAACATAAATTCTAGCTTGTCATACAAATAGCATTGCGCAGTAATGCATTTTAGCTTATTCTTTTCCTTAGCCCTTAGCTTTTAATGCTTTATTAATATGAAACTATTTTAAGAACACGATGGGTAACTATTGGTAATCAAGGATTACTATCGATTATCGTAAAAGCAACAGTAGTATCCTTCTAGAGTTCAAAGAAAATATCTAGAAAAGGTCTAATACTAACTTGAGTCTTCTAATGTATAAACGCATTTTTACTATATAGCTTGTATTTTCTTATGATTAGTGTCCTCTAAAAGAATCATCGTTAATCTTTTAGTTGATTTAAAAAATATTGTTGGAAATTCATGATGTGATAAAATAATGAGCAACTTGCACTAAAAAATGTGAAGTTTAAATTTTTCTCTAACATTCTTTTCTGACAAAGAAATCTTTGTAGATGTCAAATCACTTTTAGATCGGGTGTATTATTTAATCAATGAGCTTTTCAAAGGAGTGAAAAATGTCTATCACAGAAGCCCTTCATGAAAGTCAATGTCTATATATTGAATTTCAAATTCTAGCACAAGTTTTGATTTTCTATGCCGACTTACATGGAGCTCCAAATTTTTGTTGAAAACTCAAAAATATCCATATCTTACGACTGAAGACCTAGAAAAGCAAGTTCTTTCCTATATATTTGTACCTTTCAAATATGCACCGATTAAACAGAGGTTTCGATCTGAGTTTGATTTGGCATTGACAAAAATTTCTTCATAAATAATAAATAACTTTGCTAAACAGGTACTAATCCCATACGTATCGAGTTCTATGCAATTGCAATCAAATAAAGATATACTCTTTTACATGATAAGTACTATGTAATTCTTTTATTTAATTTTCAGGTAAAAGATGAATTAATTCGACAGGATGAATCTGTTCTACAGTTTCTTCAAGTACACATACAAAATCATGAATCATTCAGTGATCAGTTACATCTAAATATTTTTAATCCAAAATGATATTGGTGTACTATGTATCAACTACTCAATAAAGACCGCTGCGTATGGAATTATAATTTTTTCATAACATTTTTTCGCATGAAGCAAACGTTACCTTCAACGACATTGGTCGAAGAGAAAAAGAAACTTATTGATGAACTTCGAAAAGTTTCTGGATCTGATAAATTTTTGAAATGAAACCAATGATTTGGAGAACAATTACAAACCGGAAGAAGCGGTTAATTTTTATAGAAAGAATAAATTAATATTATCAATTTTAGAAAACGCCTTACACAGTCGAAATGTCGAATTGATATTATTTTTTCGGTTTTTCATATTTGATCTATTTCAACAATTGATGCGTTATTAAACTGTCCGATCAAGCTGGTGTCAAACAGTTCGTTTTGGTTAACGGTTAACGACACACAATATGTAGAAAACTTTCTCAAAAAATATAAGCGTATGCTTAAAGGCAAGGTGCAACCTATTGTTTTCAAGATTATAGTCGATATAAATATTCATGAAAGTAATTTAAAATGGTTGGGAACTGAAAACTATTATTTTCATGAACACAAAAACGAAATACTCTTTCCACCTGGTACAATATTTGTCATTGAAAAAGACGATTCTTTGCGGGATGACATGCAATACCGATTTCAATTGAAACTAGCGAAGCTTGACAGTATATGGAAATTCAAAGAATTGAATTACTATCATAAGCAAAATATATTTTTTGAAACAAATGAAGCGTCCATTGGTCAATTAATAATACAATTGGATCAGTTGGATCAAGCTGAAAAGTATTACCAATCACTAAAAAATAATTCATCCAGTTCAAGACGATTAATTCAGTATTGTAACGATGGTTTAGGTGACTTATACTTGAAAAAAACGAGATTATGAAAGCGCAAAACTTTATTATGATCAATTAGTTAACCAAACGCTACCAGAAGATAGTGATAACTTGTTAATGGCTAAAGTCTATTGTTCTTTAGCCGAGATTTACATAAATTCGAATGATAAAAATTCGTCACTCAACAGTTACCAAAAAACATTACAAATTTGTCAAGATCAAGAATATGAAAATCCATGGGTTGTGCAATGTTATCAGCGCTTGAAAAAATGTCATGCTAAATATCGAGACTATGCTATGGCTTTCGAGTCATTTCGCAACTCACTGGGTAAATATGAACTTGAACCATTTTCTACGAAGATTGTAATTTATAATCCATTCTCGACGATCCATGTATTGAAGAACATAAGTGATATATATAATCTTAAAACAGAATACATGAAGGAATATACATGCCGATGTACAGTAATAAAGATATGCAATGCCTTCATGCACGAAAGTCATATGGATATGGCTTCTGCACATGAAAGTATTGGCAAATTATATGAGAATGCTGAAAAGTTTGCATTGGCATTGGTGTCGTATCATAAAGCAAACGCAATCTATAATCAAATTTATCCGTCAAGCGATGAACACCGAATTAACATCAAGACATGCATTGAAAGGACTAGCAACAACATGAAGTCATAGGAAATTTATTCGTTCTTTTGTTTATGTAAAAACATATAACCTTTTTTATTCTAATTCAAGCTAAACACACATGGAGCTACAAAATTATGAGTACAAATACGAACTTTCACATTTGTCAGAAGTTTTACCAAATCTCACATTATATGCATTGCAGAAATCACGCTTGGTACCAGAATTGAATATATCTCGTTCATCAAAATCAACAGATTTGTTGACAATAGTTAACCATGACCCTTCCCGTAGAGGCAACATCTATTGGGAGTGCATAATAAATGTCTCTGATGAAAATCTTGTTATAAATGCATTAGACGATGTGGCAATACCTGATAGTATCGAAAATCGACAAGACATAATTACAGATGAAGGCGCAGAATTGATCGCTAAAGGAATTGTGGGATATTTTTTTTCAGAAGAAACTGAACAAAACGAATCATGTTATAAATGTTTCCAATTACCATAATCATACTATGATTCAAATTGAGACAACTCGATACTTTGAAAACTTTAAGCATAGTCAAAAGGAGAGGGTCAAATGAGACCCTGATTTGACCAATTGTAATTTTTTTCTTTTGAAAATAAATCATAATTTAACTGAAAGTTCACTCCATACCGTAATTTTTGGTAAAAAATAGTGTGGCTTCATGTTGATGTATGTACGAACGTGGGGTTAAAATATTATGCGCACCAACACCTCAAGGCTATGAATATGCCAAACAAATACGAAGAAGGACAATGTTGGATGTACGATAAGAACGGATTAGAACATTTTTGATAATTAATTTTAGTATTCCTGTAAGGCTTAATTTTTCAATATAAACATTCGACGAGTACTGGAATCAATTTCATCCTTTGAAATAGCATTGGAACAGTCTTGTCTGCGAAGTCGAAATGTACAGGATTCGCATAAGAACAAAAGCCAAGAGGGAAAAAGCAGATTCCGTCTATCCGGAATACGACGAGGATCTAAAGGATGCGGGTGTGGGTGTGAGTGTGGGGTGTGGGTATTGTTGAACTTACAATTCACACCCACACACACCGATACCCACATCTCTCATCAATTTTTTTTTCTTACATGTTTCTGCATTCTAAGAGACTGATATTTTCAGTATTTATACTAGATGTCTAGATCTACTCTATACTAGAATTTCATATTTCTACTTATTTCTATTGCAGTGTTACAAGCATCATTAAAAATAAGAAAAAAAAGTCGAAATATTATCAGGAATGCTTGATTATTTTTAATTCTTGATTATAATGCAACATGAATAGTTATGCTCGAAAAGACATTTACAAGTCGAAATTCGATTTATGCAAACAATAAAAATATTCATCAATGCCTATGTATTTGTTCTGCATTTTGATCTATCAATAGTTTCAGCCGATTCGGTATTTTTTCCACAGTAAACATTCTCCATTGTTGTGCCACTTGATTTTGCAAGCCTAATTCATTATTAAATTGTTTTTCTCTTAATCTCTCCTTAATTGCTCCCCAAACCGTTTCGATTGGCCAAATATCTGCTAATATTGCATCACCTATTTCGGATTCAATGCGTTTATCGGACAATAAATTAACAGTATTCTTCACAATCGTTGCCCTATGTTTGTTGTCCTGATCATCTTGGAAGATCGGTATCAAATCCGTATTTTTAAATACTTGTTTTATTGTCGATGCTACTTCGTGTATCAGAAACTTTGCATACAATTTGCTTGTTAAATACAATTTCTTATTCTTGTTACATTGTAGTTATTGTTGATGTAACCATTTTGTCAAATTGATTGGTCCTTGAACGGAAACAAGTCCACAAGATGAAATGGCTTCCAAAAAAGAATTCCTTTTTGATATTTCTCTGTTGGTGCATTGATTAAAGATGCTGGTATCGTTTCATTCTCTTTTGTCCAAATCCCATCATTTCTTTTATTTCGAAATGGTTGCAAAGTAAATTTACCACGAAAATCCGTGTTGACCACTCTGTTCTATTGCCATTTTGGTGTTCCCTTTCTAACTCGATATTTCATTCTTAATTGTTCAGCACAAAATATTCTTCTAATTTTATTACTATTTGTTAATTTTTCGAATTTTTTCGTCTTAAACCATTTCAAATACAATTTTCGTGCAGCGGTAAATACAGTTTGTCTAGAACAATTCATTTCATTCCTGTTAAGATTTGATGTTACATTTCTAATTGAAAAGCTGGTGTTGATATTGTAATAGGACATCCCGATCTTGGCTTGTCCTCGATCGTGTTTCTTGTTAAAATTCTTCTAATTTTTGTCAGAAACCTGATGTCGTTTCAACAATGAAGAATTTTCAGATTGTTGGAAAAAAGTCGCAATTTGAGATGGCTGCCACGATGGATTCAAACTTTTCAAATTTAATACAAGAGATCTAAATTCTTTCTTATTCTGATAAATAGTAGTCATTGTGTCAAGATAAAGTAATTGATTCAATTTGAAGCGTTCAAAAGACTAAAAAGGTGAATTTTGTTCACTTAAAATGCCTTTAATACAATTCAAAACACGGTAATTACTTGTCAGCACTTTCAGACACTGAGAAGTGTACTACGTTTCATGTGATTCATTGACACATTTCGCTGTTTCTACACATTAAGATCGTTAAAGAGAAATAGATCATTTTTTTCCATTCATGACAATTTTGGCAAGTACAGAACGCAAAAGTCACATGTAGTAACGAAAAAGCTGCTGGATATCGGTCCGTTATAGACTGGATGCAATTTTTCTCGCCCATAATTGTTCTAGTTACAATTAAAAAATTCGTATTATTTTCGGTGATGCTTGTATCACTGTGAAAGAAATAAGTAGAAACGTGAAATTCTAGTATAGAGTAGATCTAGACATCTAGTGTAAATACTGAAAATATCAGTCTCTTCGAATGCAGAAACATATAAGAAAAAAATATTTGATGAGGGGATCAGAACTTACGCGACACCATTTATGTATCACTATGAAGATTTTATTTATATAATCAACTTCATTAATTGAATTGAAGGTATCAAAACTAACTGATAGTCGGTTCTATTTGATTGAGCAACCCTGTCACTTATTGCAACGATTAGAGCACGTGCTAAACGAATATTTCATGCAGTCAGAAACCCAACGGCAAACTAAACGATGCAAAATATAATCACAAAATAGTCGATGTAATCTCACCTTTGTATGACGAGAAAAGAGAAAAATATATCTTGTGATAATAGTACGAACGCGAAGAACGAGAGGATGCGCTTTAGATATATTTATACTGAATAGTGATATTTTTCTTTCTCAACAAGGATGAATATCAATGAAGGAGAGAATAAATTGAAAAGAACGTCGTCATTTTACATCCCAAAGGTGCGCGTGACCGAACTTATAGTTTGACGTTATCAAATGCACTTCATATCTTAATACAGAACGATCAAGGGAAAAGGTAGCATAGTCATTCATCTATATAAAGACAGGCGATTTTTCTTTTTTAACATCAAGTAAATAAAATGTTACCTTTATCAATAATTTTACTTCTAGTATGCATTGGTCTGGTGACGTATTACTTTTTTCTGCTACGTCAATGTTATCACTACTTTAGTCGACTTGGTATTCCCACACCACCTTTCCATTTCTTCTTTGGTCATTTTAAAACGTTATGGAGTAGTGAATCCTTTCATCATCAACTTCAAAGCTGGACGAAAGAATATGGCAAGATCTACGGAATTTATCAAGGAAATATTCCTACCTTTGTTGTCAGCGATCCTGATTTTCTCCAAGAAGTCTTCGTCAAACAATTTGTCGTTTTTCCGGGACGAAAAGACCTTTTCACAGGTGGTAAAATTCAAAATATCTTTACTTCATCGGGTGCAAAATGGCGTCGGCATCGTCACGTATTAAATCCAACGTTTTCTGCAGCCAAACTAAAACTGATGAGTCCTCTAATCAATGGATGTATTACTAATGTCATGGAAAAAATAGTCGATCATGTCACCTCCGAGAGTGAATTCAATATCTACACATATTATAAACGTATGACAATGGACGTCATATGTAAGTATATTCTCACATCTTCCTGATGACTGTTATTTCTAGTCTGGTTTAGGTCGATGTGCATTTGGACTCGACACTGATTTACAGAATAATCCAAACAATATATATTTCAAGAAAGTGGAGGAGCTCTTTGATGCTGGCATTAAATCGAGTCTTTTTTTCAAACTTCTTCAACTTGTGCCTCAGGCGCGCTGTATTCTTGGAAAAATCTTTGATGGCATCAACACCGTTCGGACGTTCATCAATATCCGTCTTTTAGCTTCGGTGTCAAAGAGACAGTTGCATGAACGGCCAGATGTGTGGCTTCACAACCGACTACACCCAATTCTCGAGCAACGACAACAGACACCAATCTCAAGAGTCGATCTTTTGCAACTGATGTTACAAGTGATCACCGACGAACAAATTACTGTAAGTCAGATCTAGCAACCTTAATAAGCATCTTTGGGGACACAGATTTCTCGAAAAAGAGCTTTTCTAAATAAATTTATTCAGACTTGGGATGGAAACCGAAGTACAAGAAGATGTCCGCACATGTTGATGTGATTGTTATTTTCAATTACATTCGAGGGAGTGAAGGCAGTAACGAGTCTATTTCAAGTACATTTCTCTTTTAGGATGGAGTGCAAGATGGTATTAAGGCAAACTATCGACTTACTCGAGAAGAAATCGTCAGTAACATTTTTATCTTCATGATAGCAGGATATGAAACAACATCAACTACTTTGGCCTGTGCAACGTATGAACTTGCCCGACATCCAGAAGTTCTTCAGAAGCTTCAGGCTGAAATCGACCAACTTCCATTGGCCACTGGTGATGCAGTCGACGAAGAAATCAAAAAATATCCCGATTATGATATAGTGGCGCAAATGCCCTATATGGACATGTTCGTGTCGGAAGTCTTGAGAATGTATCCCATTGCAAATCAAGCCATTCAAAGACGTGCCTTCGAGGATACAATCGTACAAGGAATTAAAATCGACAAAGGTAATTATCGGCATGGCCGCGCATCGGTCACCCTCGCATGGGGAAGGTTTAAACTCGAAAAAATAAAAAAAAACATTCTCTCTGAAATCAAAAATGCACCACTGGCAGTTTATGAAACATATTGCAAGCTCCAAGATACTTTGTTGACCAGCGATATAAACCTTTATTTTTATCCGACAATCATCCAAAAAGAAATTCTTTAACTATTCTTATAAAAAAAGCTGAGTATTGAGTTCTACTACATTTCATTTTTGCCTGAAAAGTAGACAGAATTCTTAATGTTATTTCGTTGTATGAGTGAAACTGACATACTCGAACAGTAGAACTGTCTATGTACTGTTCTTTGATTGAGGAAAAGATGAGTTTATATCGTAATAATTGGAAATTTCTAGATGTCAAACTTCCCCATTAGAAAATCGAAAAAAACACGAAATTTCGTAACGGACAGTGTTTACAGGTTTTTGTTTGATGTAATTATACTCTGTTCAGAAATGAACCGATATTCTGAAAGCTTGTGGAAAATTGAACAATTTGTATACAGAGTGTTTAGTTGTATGTGACTTGATTGCGTAGTAAAATGCTTAACTCTCCACTCTCCCTAAAAACAATTTCCATTTTTTAAAATTCCGTGACGGTCAGAATTTTTTTAATAGCTCAGCCTTGCGTGCATATAAACCGATAAAATTTTTATTGAGAATAGATCTAAATAGTCTCTACATATGATAAAAATTTCAGGGGATTAGCTTTTATCGTTGATGAGATATAAGTATTGCAGTATGAAAAAATAAAATTCCGTAGCGCTCGGCCATGCCGTTATGTAGTTTCATGTCAGGAAACATTTCAACTTTTTCTAAACCATCAGAAAATCTATTAGAATTGTATTTTAGTCTGAAGAATCTTGTTCATCTCTATGACAATCGTATTTGAAATGATGCATGTCTTTCATCTTTTGAAGGTACCTTAGTGTATGCTGATGTCTATTCCGTCCATTACGATCGGGAAATTTGGGGTCCTGAAGATCCCCATATCTTCTTTCCCGAACGTCATGAAAGAAAACGTCATCCGCTGGCTTATCTACCGTTTGGAGCAGGACCACGGCATTGTATTGGCATGCGCTTTGCATTGATAGAAATGAAGATTCTACTAGTGCGACTACTGCGCGAGTATTCCATTCTGCCCGGTGAACATCTCGAAACCAAATTCAACCTTCGTGAACGAACAGTTCTCGCACCAGAAGCAGTTTGGGTTAAATTAGTGAAAAGAAATATTTGAGAGACAATCATACGATACTTATAAATCTAAAACTTTACTTTTGTAGAAATAGTCTTTCAATAAATATACAGGAAACATAATGCACATATCTCAAGAATATCTTTCAAAATAATCAAGAAAAATCAATGCAGAGAGGTATTCTTTGACAGCGTTTTTTTCTCTTCTTCTAGAAATGAAAAGAGCAAAAGAACCTCCATAGCTTGAAAACATCTTTTTCTATTCTAACATTGAGGTCTGAATTATTTTGTTATCGTTTTATTTGATGCAAAGATAGTATTGTCGTGACAAAAATCAAGATCTTCTTTTGGAATCAGCGGTATGAAGCTAGAACCATTATTTCCAACCCAGAGTAGACTTTGTTCTATCACTGGAGAAAACTCTATGAAACTTTTGGATCTAAAAATCTTCGAAATCATCAGTTTCTTGTCTACCCACATTTTCCAGTACAAATTCCAGCTTTGTGGTTTAAAGAGCAGAAGTGCGCTAGTTTATCTCGGTGTCCATTCGTAAGCAGAAGAAAAGTACCGCATAGCCAAACGAACAGAGGTTTGAGAAAAGTCGAAAACACGACCTTTCGTAAACTGTAGGACAATGTTTCGACTGCTTTGGACAACTTGACTAGTTTTCTTCGATTTCTAATTTTCGATTTGTATAATGTCAGCATCTTCTCCCAGCCCATTTTAGATGAAAAATGACACCCTAAGTACCTAAAGTTATTTATTCTTTCAATTACGTCATTACTGAGGTGGATTTCGAAGGGGGGTGTGGTAGTCACCCTCGCTGACTACATCCAAACTATTTTCTTATAGGATGTGGGTGTGGGTTATATGCACCCAGACTCACCCACACCCTTGCCGAGTTTGCTGATATTGCCAATGAATTCGAACAACTCGTTCAGACGTTCAGCAAGCTCGTAATCGCTACACAGCATAAAATGGGCTTGATTTTGCCATGCATGTGTAAATCAAGAGATCACATTAGCATGCTGGCTGATGTGTTCAAACCTAGTGATAATAATCTTCTAAGAGCTACTGATTATGACGACATCAAAATTGCGATGGGTGGCCTAGTACATGGAATGAAGAAGATGATCGATTTGTCGTGTGCCAGCAGTGGAGAAAGTCGTCAATTGAACGAACGAATCATTCGACTAAAAACAGATGTACAAACACGACGTAAAACTGTGAAAGGACGAATTCATATATCGAAAGCACTCAGCTGCTGTGGTCGGCTCGCAGGAGCCGTTATTGTTGCTCGTCCTCTCATGGCGATGGTGGCGTCAAAAGAATTTCGTGGAGTTGGTATGCTCGTTGTAGCTGGATGCAGTTTCACACCTATTACTGCTATCATATGCGGCGCATTGCTAGGTGATTCAATCATTCTAGCTATTGCAGGTCTCGTTTATCATTGTTGGGTGTGACATCAGCACAACGCTTTGTCCTTCCCAAACAAAATTTGTATAGGATTGATGAAGCTTTCAAATGCTAATATATTCTTTCTCGACTATTTGAATAAGGATGAAGAAGCAGCTAATACAATTAGTGTACAACTCGAACAGATTCAACGTTCGATTGCAAGTGAACGATATCGGAAATGTAATGCTGAGCTTTGCAAGAAAGCTCTCGAATCGGTCAATGAAACACTTAAAACAATCGAAGACATCAAAAATATTGATGTATCACGATGGCTTCTTCCATAAAGTCTGCCACGATTCGATGATATCAGACTCGTTTTGACTGCATCGGAGAATCAGTGATGGTGAGAACATTCTACATGTGAATATATTCTTTCTTTTTATTATGTATTCTCTAATGTGTATATTCACATCAAAGCGTTCTACTCATCCAATAAACTTTCATGGTGGTACACATTTTTTATAACCTACATAAAAGTATTTGGCATGCTCTACTTTGCTAAATTCGTTTATTTTTTCGACTACTTAAGGCAGCTCTTCGTCCCAAAATAGGATCATCAAGCCAGCACGTGCTATCGAGCTGAGAGTTTATGCATATATTGGGGGTGGGTAGTTATACACATAAAAAAATTTTCAGCATTATATCTCTTCCTTAGCGCGAGGTAGGTTAATTTTAGTATCTGTATGGTTGCCATTTTGGCGCCTTCCTCATCTCCAAGCATATTTAACTACATTATGACACAGATCTAATTCTCACTTTTTTAAACTTCTGGCGATAAATCCTATGTACAAAAAAATAACGGAAAAAAGATTTAATTTTAATGGATTTTTTCATGATTAAAAATCGATTAAAATGGCACTATTTTAATTTGGTTTTAATCGAAAATAATGATTAAAATCGATTTTGTTCTAACTTATCGGTATTTTTTCGTAAATGAGTGAATATGAATTACAATTGAATCTCAATACATGACATATTTATTACAGGTTGATCTACGTAACATTATATCTACTATTTATCAAAGTGAGAAATAAAAAGAAAACTACGAGAAAGTTGATTCTCTAACTTGAAATTTGAGAAAAACGTGTTACACAGCTATCGCCATTAAAATCGATTTTTAACAATTTAATTGATTTTAAATAATATTTTGATAAAAAGAATCAAACGTTTTCAAGCAACGTCTATTTTTACTTGAGTGTTTTTTGAAAACATAAATGATTCATAATTTATTTTCAGTTTCCCTTCTAACAAACACGAAATAAAAGTATTTTTTTCAAATTTATATTTAAATGTGTCTCGTTGGATCGTAAGTAGATTGGAAGTTATGGTAATGGTGAAATTGATTGTTAAAAAAACTTATCGAAACAAAATGTTTAAAATATGAGAATTTATTCATACATTAGAGACAATTTGATTCTACAATGCCTGGCGGTCGAGATGAAATGCCAATGTTATATTATTTCTTTCATTTTTCTTCAGATAGTGTCAGTCGTTCTCTCCTAATTTGTTTGTCAGAAAGATACATCCTGAAATGTTTTACAAAACGGTATACTTTTGTTAACTAATGTAGTTTTCATTGTGTTATAACAGTCTATAGAATAGTTTTGAAAATTAAGCATAACTATCTAATAGTATCTGTGGTCCTAATGTTTCTTAATTACCTTGATCTTTTTTGGTCCGTAACTCCAGTTAATTGCTTATGGAATACCATAAACGAGTTTTTCCATCCATAATAATTATCTGTCCATTGACATAATTTATTTCTAACCTATAAAGATCCGAATAATCTGGTTGATAATAAATAAAATAAGAAGTATCAGTAGCAAACAACTCGATTGTATCAAAAAGCATATTTGATTCAAATATATAATCATCTTCTAGTAAAAAGGGTGTGGGTGTGGGTAGGTCTGGGTGAAAATAACCCACACCCACACACACACCCACCCTCTTGAGAACGACAACTACCAATTATTACGTCCTAGCAGCCGGAATCATCTATTTCTACGCATGATACCTATTTACACATTTAACTATTGCCGATATCTTAGCCCCAGAGACATTCTTTCATAAGAAATATTTCGTAAATCTTACTACTCGTTATTCTTGCTATATTATTAACAGAAAATAATCACAGGTTCCGGTTTTTTTCCTTCAATAGCCTTTGATCAATTTTTCTAGACAAAAAAAATTCTAACAACAGTAGTGAAAGAAAAGTGAGACTGATCTCGGATTCGGATTCCCCGCTCTCAATTACCTTTGGTCAAGTTTTATATGAAATATTAATAATTAGTTAATAATTAAGTAATTAAAACT